TAGAGCGTCCTCAGCAGAGGCTATTTGTGGTCGTGTTGGAGCATTTCACGGTGTGTAATAGAAGTTTGACCAGTCTTGAACCAATACCCCCGACCATCTCCTCAGTTATGAGTCAATTGGGAACAGTATTCACCTGGCTATTGTAATGGTATGATCTTCCTCAGTATTATCTAGTGTTCATCGGTACGATTTTCCGATTTGGCATTTTTTCCAAATGAATAGATCACCAAACTTACTTTAAACATGTCGATTTTTACCGGCCACGTTTAACTGATAGGCAGTAGCCTTACCGAAACACGATCCCGATCCTTATATTTTCTTTAAGTGTACTGGTTATGTGATCCTTTTTCAGATTCTGGCTGACTAGTGACCTGGGGCGTAAATTGCTTCGAAGACAATTTATTTCTCTTGGTTTCGTTTCACAGACGCAATTATCTGGGATCGTTCAGCGTCTGAATAAAGTTCTTGATGTCCAATCATTGCCGGACTAGATTTTACCAACCCATAGTGGTTTAGCCTATAAATATTGTATTACGTTAAATAAACATTTAGCTAATGAATCTAACCAATTTCATTGTCTTATGTGCATATCTACAACATCCTTTTTATTTTTTTTCTGAACCAGAATTGTAATCTTTTTAGTTTAAGGGGTTCTGTATCGAATAACAAGACTCATACCAATATGAATGAGTGCTTTCTCTGAAGTAAACCACAAGCTATTCCAAATAATTCTGCTCGGACGTTTGGCTTTAGAAATTATGAATTGATCAGCGCTTTAGGCATCCGTCTACCACACATCTTCCGCACATCTTCCCAGAGGTATTTCAATACGATCGTTTCATTTTCTATAACATAACTCTTGATTTTGCCAGTGTTATTTATCATGTTCACTCTTCGCTACTTTTGGTCACCGTTCCGTAACTAAGAGGTATATTGTACACAAGCTGCACTATCCTCTTGCATCTCTAGGACTTACTTGAAAATGAAACGAAATCAGAATAATACGGAGACGTTCCCCTGATAACTGTTCGTAGGTTAGATCTTTTTAACCTCGGCGATCTGGACATTAAAGCCGATTTCAAATGGTTTCATGCAATCCTGTATGTGGATGAAAGAACTGAGGCTAACATACGAAACATTGTCATCAAATTGCTGTAGCCATTTTTCGAGGTTGAATTGTTTCGTTACAACCCTGCCATTCAAATGTGGATATTGTGTCTCAATTCCCATCGACCCAAGGAATATGAGAGTAACTTGATGGACAAGTACCGAATAAAAACACCTGATAACCAGCTAACTCCCCAACTTCGGCTGTGCACTTATGGAAGTGTCGTCTAGTCATTCATATAACAGTTTTTGTAGAACGGATGCTTTTCCGAAGTTAGAGCCAATTTTTTTTATTATTATTAATATTTTCTTACACACGTTCATGTGATGAACAACAAATGGGGTAAACCCAATAGACATGAGGACCTGTTTTTCATTGATGGAAAATGGTAACCTAATCCCCGAAACTTGGAGTGGCGAACCACATAAGACTCTGCCTGATTAGTTAGGTGTGGTATTAAACCGGACGACAGCATATCTGCCCCCCCCCCACACACACTAATGTTGGGCGCCGGTGGCGGGGCTCGAACCACAGGGTACAAAGCACGCCTGTGACAGCGACTAAACCACTGCGCCACCACCACCACAATGAGTGTCCGGAATCAGTTAATTTCCTGTTTTCAGAACAGGAGATCGATTGACGCCAATGCAGCTGTCTGAGGTCAAACGTTCTTTTACCCCTTGTGTTAAAAATAGAACAACGCTGCCCAATCCCATTTGCACTCAGTCCGATTTCAAAGAGAGAACAAAATAAGCGACTCGCTGGGAAGCCAGTATTACCACTTACTGTTGTAAGTTGTTGACCTTACTGATCAGTAACTAAAACCTGCTCATGAAAATGCATGGTTAATGTTTGTAACAACCGAAAATGTCACTGCAGTGAATCACAGAGTGCTCTGTTTGACCTGTGCTTTTTCCACAGGCTTTGGCCCATGAAGCAGATCTGTCCCAGTTACGAGAAGCACAACAGAAAGTGCGCGAATCTGCCGACTTGGAACTGAACAAGCTGGTACGCGAGTCAGCCGATTTACGAGCGACCCACGAGGCCACTAGTGAACGGCTACGCCTAGCTCAAAGGTTGATTAACAAACTGAAAGCTGCACGTGACACTGCGTTGTCTGGACTGGCTCGTGCGCAAGTTGAACTGCAAGAGACACGTGCAGCACAAGAAGAAGCGAATAAACGTCGAGATGCCGAAGTAAAATCAATGAATCAGGAATTGCGAGTTGCTCAGGAAAAGTTGCGGACACTGGACACTGAAGTAAGCTCTCAATGTGTTATTTATATATTAGATCTTTAATTTTGTGATGCTTATTTCGAATAATCAATGTATGATTCCTCTAAGAAATACTATCTTATGTTTGAGATTTCCTTCTGGTATCGCAACACTTCACGTGTAACATGATCATTGAAATTGATCAGGTGTCTGGGCCACGTGAACTCAAACAATATGACAGTTTGACATGTTTCAAATGTGGTCGCAAAGAACTCCATTGTTCATCCGTGATGCATATCTCGGGTGAGATATAGCTGTCCGAATAGCGGAACTTGTCTATTTGCTCTAATAATTCCCCAGTAAGAGTGAAGATAGGTGCACAACCAACCCAGTTGTATGGTAACATTTAACACTTTAAAGGTGTAACACGCATGTCGAACATGGCTACACTGGCACTCAAGCTATCCGGAAAAGCCTTCAACTTGTACCTTCTTTTAGCGGTATATTGCCATCAGCATATTCTAAATCGATCAGTCTGCCATCTGGGAGTAAATGGCTAGTTTTTGAATTACCATAAAAAGTTAGTTTTTCATCCATTTCAGTTTGCGTTTGTACAATTATTGGCTTTTGAACTTTCACGCGGCGGTTTTGGCTGTTGTCTCTTGGCTGCCCATTCGGATGAGGGAATAGAGGGAGGTAAATGAATTTTGTAATCGGTATCATAATAAAGATAAGTAATTTTGGTATATTTAGAATCAAAAGAAAGCTCAAGCGCCACTGTTTTCGACACAACCGCATTACTGAGTGTCTCTGATTATCAATTACGGTGACCCGTTAAACCCTATTCGGAAAGCCCAACGCGATCTAAACGACCGAGTTTCCTGACCTTTGTTACCTCAGATCGGATCTTAGTTTAACCATTCTTGAATTTCTCATTCATCACCTGCCTCGACAAATACCGTATGTTGAAGAAGCCCATCGAGTGACGTGCGTAAGACATGGTAAACGCCATTTTTGCCGTATGTATGTCTACCGAAAAACCATCCGAAATTTATCCTGCAGGTGAGATGCATCTACCCAAACATCAAAATGCGTCTACTTTCTCTGCTGCTTCCCCTCTTAGAATGAGACTGGAACCTCAACCTACCAAGTACTAAAACAGCATTTCGCACCTTGAAGATGACAAAGGTATGTTTAGCATAACGTGAATTTGCGGTGGGGGGGGGGGTTCTGAAGTACGCAGTGTCTTTTCGGGCACACCATATACATCAACATTCTGATTTTTAATTCTTTTGTCTGATGCGATGTGCTGACTCATCTGGAAGATTGTGCGGACACGGAATGCGGTTAAGTGAAAAGGGGAGCTTAGTTTCATCAATCCAATCGCTTTCGACTGGTTCATCTTACTAATTATCCGCTGAGTCATATCCATACATACTGTACGACTAGGAAGAGTTAAGAATTACGGATGACAGATGAAAAAGAGGGCTTTACCAAGTGAGTGTCCGGGACGCTTGGATATGGAAGAGTTCGTGGAGGCCCATAGCGGTAGGTGGGAGTGGGGGCTTTTGTCCATCCACCGGAGTGTGCTTAATTTCATTCTTGTTGACTTCATTGGGTGTTACATATGTGGTTAGAGTTAGCTCTGTGACCCAGAGCTCTCTAAGGAAACTTGATTTCTTACCAAGTTACCTAACTGAACTAACTAACTAATTACCCCTGCATACGAAATCTGAATGGTTTGACTGGGGTTGCGAGTTGGCTAGAACGTTGCCGATGCACATGGTCTCCTGTCGAGATACTCGGATTTCAAATCCCGAACGGGTTGGTGAGTGTATATTCCTAAGCAGTTTTGTCAAGGTCTAAACCTCGAGTATATAATGGTGCTTCATGAGGCAGTTTTGCTGTCGTCCGGTTCAGCACCACACCTAGCCCATCGGGATCTTATGTGGTTCACCACTCCACGTCTCGGGGATAAGGTTACCGGTTTCCATCACTGAGCAGCAGTTCCTTGTGATTATGAGGTTTACTCCGTCTGTTGTTCATCACACGAAAGTGTTTAATATATATATATATATATGAATTGCATAAACCAAATGCTGTTTCATGATGTTTCATGAAGTCCATCGTCCAACTTCGGCACAGAGAGAAGTACGTTGCCAGAAGTCACTATCCACGATTCTCCGATGAAATCAAAACCAGGTCATACCACTCAAGGTTTCCGAAAAACGATATCTATTTTTGCACTTATCCTTACACATAGTACTTCAAGTAACTTTTCCAAATTGGTAATCCACTGACTGTTGTCCGAATAAAACATAGTTCCATTCATCCTCTCCGTTGCTTATAATCACTGCTTCATGTAATTAGACTGAGTTCTCAATCTACTTGGCAGGATCGCTTGATCGCTTGCAAAATTCCATACCAGTTGGTTGTACTTTTCGCTCCGCCTGACTTTTGATTTCTCCTTTTATCTTGTCCGCCTGATACATCTCCCTCATCGTGGTCTCTTCGTACGTCCTAGTTGCACCAGGCACGTGAAGATGCGTCTCACCAATTGCTTCGTACAAACGAAGCACACGAACGAGCTATTGAACGACTAAATCAACATTTGAATCAGGAAGCACAGAAAGCACGCAGCATTGAACAAATGCAATTGTGGATCGGGGTATTGCGCGGACAACTGTCCGAATCCGAACAAGCTCGGGATGCGGCCCGTGAACGTTTGACCCAATATGAACAAAGTGTTCAGCAATTCCAAGAAGTATTGGGTGAACGTGATCGACAAGTGAAACAGTTGGAATCTCAATTGGCGGAGCGCTCTCGTATGCTGGAGTCTCGTGCGCAAGAAATAGACTCTCTCAAGGTTTGCTCTAATCCGGAGAAAATTTCACATGTTTCTTTCATTTGCTTTGTAACTGACCTTTTCGGATATGTTTTGCCATACTGGGAAAGTTGTGTTGGGTTGTGTCATTTGGAAATTATGGCACACCACTTTTGCGTTTCATCCACCGGGAGATTGTACCTGTCACAGTGAGAATGGACTTTTGGGTAATGCTATGCCTTGCGTGATCCAGGAAATTAAAAAGAGCGGTTTTTTACGGGCATAGTTTGACTCATACCTGAAAGACCAATGAATAGAGGCTAGAAAATGCTCATTCTCACACGGTGCGCTGATTCTACACTAGGTGGTCATCAATATCCCCCTCCTCCCCCGGAAAGGTTATTTCCGAAAATAAACGCGAACAGGAGTCGTTCATTTTTCAGAACTCCAATAGATGGACTTAAAGGCGGGGTACCTGGGATCCCCGTCCTATGATTAGCGGTCTTAGATTTGCACTGGATAGCCATCTCCCAGTAAATAAAGTGAATGTGGAATGCATCGGGCTCAGAACGAATACCAAAAGGCGAAAAAATAACCAACGCATCAGCGAACTTACCACAAAGCCGAGACTAAACTCCTACGCGACAGTCTTCCACACGAGTGTTTCGCTTAAGTAGTCGCGTTGGATGTAGGCCATGCTGCCCTGTGTGTCAGACTTTTCAGTCGACGGCTACTGCTAGGGGTTACTATGACAAACTTCTTCCCAGGTGTGAATGACTCGAAGTATGCCGTGTCCCAAAGTCCCGAGGACCCATTCGTTATTTCTCTAGGGTTTTCTTTAATATCAAGATTGCCAAAGTTAATCGTATCATTGAAGTAACTATTGCTGGATCACTGTATATAATTTATTGCTTGTTGCCCTCCGTCATAGAACGAGTCAGTAAGGGTTTAGCCTTTTTTGCTTCCGTTTTCCTGTGAGCCGTGATCTTATTATGTTTNTATGTTTATTGTCTTTTTACCACTAGCTTGAACTACATCTGAGTGGCATAACACCCAGTGGAATGCATTAATTTCTTACTAAGTTAACCAACGCATTTGGCGATTGTGCCATCAAATTATTAACCTATCCTTTAGTCTCCACTTTAAGCAACTTGCTATGAACAAACTCAGAGGGCTTTCGTACCCGTAGCTGTTTTGATTTTCAACTTTTCTGTCCGGACCTTCATTCCGCTTGGGTGCGTATGCATTGTATAAGATTCTCAGCTGACAGAATGAAACCTGGTACCGGGTTAGACATAACTGGAGACCCGACAAGGTTCGATTGAGCCATGATACAATTTGAATTAGTTTGATCAAAGCATGAGTCATGTCCATTCTGCCCTCTCTTTTTCCCTCACTCTCTATCTCTCCCTCATTTGCTCATTTGAATTTTTTCTCCCTAATCCTATCCGGTCGTGTAGCAAGCATTAGACGAACGTTTGCTTGTTGTTCGCAAAGATGCAGACCGAGCCAGAGCGGAGCGATCCGAAGTTCTCATGGAGAAACAAGCCTTGGAACGCAGACTGCGCGAAGCGGAACAACAACTGACCGGTTACGACCAGGAACGAAATCAGTTTATTGAACGAATGATGGAAATGGATAAAGAGGTTAGTTTGTCTTCGTCGCCCTACTGTCTTTATCTTAATTATCACCTGCGCTCAACTTCCTCAGCCCTAATCGTGAGAGAGAAAATACAGTGCGAGCGTAACAGCAGAGCCAGTTATTGGTCGGAAATGTTTCTCTTTTATTTTGAGCAAGCGCTCCGACGGACTTTGTTTATTGTTATTTGCCTTCTGGTCTCACTTTTGACAAAAATCTTGAGCACTGAACAACTGTTTCGTTGTCAGCATTGCGTGCTGTTTTTGTATCCTTGCAGGAGTTACACTAGATGGGTGTACCAAATTTCCGGGACTTAAACGTTCACATTTTCATTTCATGAAACTAGACATGCGGTCGTCCAGCTGTGGAGAAATGTTTCCACTTCTTGTTTCCTGATACGAATTCGGACAGGTGCTGTCCATTGAGCGGTACAGATCACCAAATTATCGCCCAGGAGGACATGTGTTCACAAATCCCATCATCACCGCCTGACATTTCCCATTCTTAGTTCCTGTAAAATGCATCATGGTGTATTCAATAAAAGGAAGTAAAAATATTTTAAAAAATAAAAAAGGAATACGGAATGATGAGCACTGCTGGCCACTTCTAGAGAGGTCAAAAGTGCAGTTCCTTAATATTTATATGTTTTTGTACAGGTGTCACTTCATGGAATTCGGGAAAAGAACATTCACAAGCAATACTCTGAAAAATAATGGCTATTATTTGGAATCTCCATCAGTAACGTGTCTTCTTTGTAAACAAAGAGATTCGGCCCGAATGACTAGTTGGATTTTACTCTACCGATCCACCACCGCGCGTTTACTGTTCTGTTTGCCTTTTGGATTTGGCAATTCTACAGTATTGTTCGCGTTATTATTTTTGCTATCTAAATTGTAAGTATTCATTTGACTGATCTAACAGGGTCGTCTTTGTGGAACACTGTTTACCAAGCAGTATTTGTTGTTCTGTATGCTTGGTTGACAACCATTTCTTTTCGGTCATTTACAACCCTTCATAAATGTTGTGTTAATGGTCATTTGTATTACCGATCTACAATTTTTTGCTATTTGACTGTTCATTAACACTGTATTGGATTTCATGGTGTGTTTATGGCACTGTGTCCCCCAGTAGCGTAAAACACGTCAGAAAATAAGTTCTTAGACGGAATACTTCAAATTGTGAAGGATTCTGAAGTGTCACTGTCTCTTCATATGAGCTGTTTGTAGGTTCTGCAGGTTCCATTTACAGTAACTAATTAACTTAATCATTTTTGGATGATATCATCCTAAGAAATCCTCAAAACAATTGTATTTCATTTTCGTACCGTCTCTTTATCGATGGAGTTCATTTTGCACGCTAGTCCAGATTCGTAGAATATACCCAAGGACAGAAGGTGTTTGCAAACAAACTTCCTCCATGTACGTTGCCACAAGTGGTTTCATGTAGGAGACACAAATAGTACAGACACCTTTTGTCCGATTGCAACTCAGTTTAGAATGATCACAGAAGCCAACTAGTATAGTAGGTGAGTGTAGGCAGTCTAGCGGTCGTCAGTGAGTTACCGTTGCAGATGGAGTGAGGGGTCAAATGAAGTAACGGTCTCTAATTGAAATGTGGGCAAGTGTTATGAGCGTGGGAGTGAGATAGAGAATGATGGTGTTCCCGAAGGAGCACTATCGAATCTATTTGTCATGCATTTAATGGAATCTGGAACGGTCAATGGAGAACGAAAAAAGTAATGAACAACCAAGTATTTGGTGAATGACGCAATGTAAGAGGCAGGGAGATGACACTCCGCTTTATGCCAAATCGCGGCTTGAACTTTGGAACTTTGTATTAAGAGTTATTTATGTAATGTAACCAGAAAATCGTTCGATTGTGGTATTGAATGTGAAATTTCTTGTCAGATAGGCTGGACGGGGTATTGGTGTTCCATTCGTCTAATTCAAGTTCTTCCTGACTGAATACCTGCTCTAACCTGATTACTCTTCTACCATTCCGTACAAGTGATGAGAATGCTCCGTTTTTCTCAGTATTTTACTCCCAATAATATCCTATCCCTGAAATTAAAAAACAATACAGTTAAAGAAGGGCGATTTAAATGAATGTTTTGTCTCTTTTAGACACTTTAGGATACCAAACATTTTCGTTTTTACACTCTAAGTAGCTCGTGAAACATATGTAAACCCCGTGGTCAGTGACATACTATGATGGAGGCCGGTATATTGAAGAACGTTCGAGTACCAGTTTGTTGATTCTGTTCCCGAAGAGAGATTCTAGGTAGTTTGGAATACAGAGCGGACGAAATTGCTCCACCCTAGTATCGCCATGGCTGTTTTCGGGGTGGATACCGTGCTTTATACGATTTGCTTTATCAATACTTGAGCTTGAGGTTGCTGGTTATCATCAATATTTTGTAGGTCCTCTTGACTGTTGGTGTTTTTCCTTCTGCTGTTCGTTACACTAGAGTTTTTTTACAATTAAATTCCATATGATCGATAGTATTTGGCTGAAAGAACTGTCTGGTGTGAAATACGAAACCAGCTTTGCTTTCAGCGCGAGAACCAATTAAATGATGACATACATATACTCCTAGCCAGCGATTTTACAATTATGAACCCGTTTGAGCCTATCTCACGTTATTCGTGTCCTTTTATACCTCCTCGATTTCTCCTCGTACTTGTGTTCCGCGAATGATTCCCAGTTGCAAGCTCTTCGACAGGATCGGGCAAATGAGACCAAGTCAAGAAACGATGCTCTCGAACAACTGCGGGACGAATTGAATGCGCAAATGAAAGAGATGCAAACACAGCGTGATCGAACCGCCGAATGTTTGCGCGAAGCTAATTCTTTCCTTGTAGAACAAACCGCCAATAAACAGATGCTGCTCGATCAGTTAAAAACGTCACAGGATCAATACTCCCAGGTTAGCCTATAGACATTTTTCCGGACTAATTCTTTATGTAATTCACTTGTCAAAATTGAAAGACTTCGCGTATGTAGGTGTCTATTTTTGAAATGGGGTATCTATAGAAAAAATTGAATATAGAAACGAAGGTTATTTTAATCGTTTGTTCCACCTCTGTACAGGTGTTGACCAAACTCGTGCAACATCATCCTCATGTTGAAAATCCATTTCGGCTTGCAATATCATAGTTATATATAGATCGCAAAATTGTCTGCGCTGATCAGGGAGGGTTTTGATAACTGCCACTCCAAAAATGCATTTGAGGAAGGTATATTTTTCACATATAAAGGTTGGCATATAAGGTTGATGGTAGAAAACGGTTAGACCTAAATAAATATTATTTTTTCACATTTATGCAGTTTCTAGAGGGGTCGATTTCAATGTCTAATTCGTTCTATTAACGCGCAGCAGCTGGGATTTTAATTTAATCGGAAACTTTTCCCTCTATCAGAAACAGGGATAAGGTAGCTACTTTGCCACTGGTCTCCGGTGTTAAGGTTGTGCGGTGTATTAGAGAAAACTTGCAAAATCTGTTTGGTGGTCAACTTGGTGGATTCCATGCTAAAGCGACTGCATCCAGTGCTCAAAAATGAAGAAGAGTAAACGGAACATGAACGAGATGGAAGTGCAATACCTGTATAAAGTCTATGAGTCATTTTAATAAATAAATTACAGTTACGTTTTCTACTGTGGCTTTGTTATCTTACAACTGATGCACTAGCAAAAATCGTTGAAATCGCTAAATTGTACATTTTTTTCAATGTGGCTAATAGAAACAGTGACATAAGTGGGTATTATGACAGATAAGGTGAGTCTGATGTGGGGCAATAGCATGCACAATCCTGTGAATGAGGCTGGAAAAACGAAGCATTGAGAGGAACAAATGTGATGAAAATCACGATATTGCACGAGTTTAGTCAATACCTGTACGTCCATACTACAGTTTAGGTTGGGTCACAAATTGCAGTTACTTTGGCATGCGCACGAGACTTCACCTACACGTGGTGTGATGGTTTGAAGGTTTCCATGGACTTGCGAGCTACAAGGGTTGGCTTTCCACAGCTTTAGATTCAGTCATGCCTGAAAGGTCAAACGAAGCTCAATCTCACAAGGCCAGCTGTTTGGGCACCTGGCTCCCTCTGACTATCTATTCTTGACCCCGGAGAGATCACTCCAGCAAATGAACATGAGGAGGCGCAGTTTATCGGTAAAAAGACCCTCTAGATGGACGTTGGAGTAGGGTACCTGGAGCTTCTTCCCGACAGTGAGATAAGTCTTCAGATTTCATTGGACAGCTATCGCTCACCCTAGTTGGGCATCCCCCAGTCAATAAGGTGCTTTTCCGTCCATGCTTCGCTTACCTCATTGGGTGCATGAAACTAAGGACTGATCCCGAAGAACGGAACGACAATCAATGAACCGGCAAACTACACTGGATTGAATCCCAAAGACCTTACCTTACAGGTCTTTAGAATTTCGGTCACGCTCCCGCGTTGTATCTACGTCCCACTGCCTTGTAGGTCAGAATTTGAGTCGAAGGCTCCGGTTACGGTTCCCAAAGAAAAGCGTTTTTGTCGGGGGGATTATTCAAAGTACCTCATACTCTGGAGTCTCAAATACCCCGTTTGGAAAACCCTCTTTGTCATTTGTCCAATTCCTCTTCTCACTCCCAAAGCTTAGGAGGTGCCTCCTGTTTACATCACCCATGGGATATCACTTAGCGTTTAACCGGTAAGCTCAAACAATCAACAGCTATAGGGTTAATAAACCAAAATCTCCGTTTCGTTTGGCTGCAATCAATGTCTGCACACTATCAGATTGGCCAAAAACCTGCCTTGAAACTTTCCATTTAGACGTATGCCGTGTCGGGATTGCGCTAAGTGTCAAGGCCGAAAGTTTACTTCTTCACTGAATTCCGGTTAGTAGTCTACTGTGCGCTGTCCGCCTCGACGGCTGAGTATGGTTTAACAGCAAACATAACAAAGCGTCAGTGCTTGTTCGCCGTGTCCATGTAAGCTCCAATGGATTGTAATGCATCTGGAATAAAGGATCGATTCTACACTGATATTTCTCAACTACTCCAAATCGTTCGATCAAAGGACGTCATAGTAGTTGCTGGAGACTTCAATGCTTAAGTGGGATACCTGGACGCATCAGTGAGGCTTCTTGGTGGACCACATGTAATCCCAACCAACCGGAGGGACAACGGAGATTGCCTACTTCAACTTTTCGTGGAGCACGGATGGTTCCTATCAAGCACCAGCTTCTCGCACAATATGGAAACCGCCAATCTCTGCGCAGCGATGGACCCAAATCGACCACATTGCGGTCAGTTACCGCTGGCGGGGGTCGATTCAAGACTGCTGGCCTAACTGTTCAACATCTTTGGATGTGTACCAAGCTTTGTTACGAGCCTAATTCTCCTAACGCCTGACTCAACCGCCATAAAGCTACCGGCAACGGATACTCACAATATAATGGTAGCGATAGTTGCAATTCGGCTTTCGAAGCGGAGTTCTCCGATCGCCGAGGGACCAAAATCACTTTTCCACTTAGCCGCATTTATTTTCCGCACACTCTGTCAGATCGGTCAATGAGCTGCCTTAGCTAGAACCCTTGAACCTTTCTATTTAGATGTATGCTGTGTCTCCAAAACATGTATACAAGACCCTACTTCAATCATCTCCTTGCGTTCTCCAGATCCAACCTCATCCTCACGCTTCACTTCCCGTGTGTCAGGCGATTCAGCATCCGAAGCTCGCGGTGTTGCTGGTTTTGCAATTGCGCCGAGTGTCAAGGCCGAGCGTTTACTTCTCGACTGCATCCCGGTTAGCAGCCGACTTTGCACCGTACGTTTGGATGGTTCAGTACGTGTCAACAACTGTAGAACAAAGCGTCGATGCTTATTCGTCGTATCCGCATATGCACCGACAGATTGTAGTTCACCAGAAATGAAGGATGAATTCTACAAGGATCTTTCTCAACTGCTCCAAATTGCTCGGTTAACGGACAATGTGATAGTTGCTGGCGATCTCAATGTTCAAGTGGGATCCCTGGAAGAATCAGAGAGACAACTTGGTAGTTTACATGCAATCCCAGCCAATAGGACAACGGAGAACGCCTACTCCAACTTTGTGCTGACCACGAACTGTTTCTATCAAGCACAAACTTCTCGCACAAAAAACGGCACCGCCTTACATGGAGACCGCCAGCAGCTTCACAGCGCTGGACTCAAATCGACCACATTGCCATCAGCGACCGCTGGTGATAAATACTGTCGCCCTTACTGGTCAACACCCGTAGACCGTGCTCTGCTACGAGCGAGATTCTCCCTACGCCTAGTATACAACCGCAGAAAAGCTACCGAAAACAGATGCCCAGGATACAATGTCAGCAATGATTGCAAATCGGCCTTCGAAGAGGAAGTATCAGATCGTCTCTCAACTCAACCATCAGCCGGAGCACTCAGTGAGCACTGGACGGTAATCAAGGAAGCGATCCAAATGTCAATCAAAACAACGTCAGATTTTGACATACGATCAAATGAAAACCGATAGATCTCCCCGACTTCAGTGGCCCTGCTGGACGCTCACAAAACCATTCCTTCGGATTCAAAATACGACAAGGCGCGAATTCTTTTAAACGCCAGCTCATCAAGAGTCTGAGGAATGACCGCGAGAGGTGGTGGGTAGGAAAGTGTAGAGAGATGGGGAAGGCTGCTATCGGTAATAGTCGCAATCTTTTCTGATTAATTGGGAGTACAGATCCAGGGAAATTAGGCGTGAGGTAATTAAGGAGTTCGACGGCACACTGATTCATATTCAGCAACGCCGTCCAGATCAATGGGCAGAACATTTTAAGACCGTCATCAGCACAAGACCTTCCTACACCCGGTTCAACTGTGCAAATACTGCTAGTTGACATCAGTCCTCGATTTGAAATAGAGATTACCTGACAAATAATTTATCTCAAAAGGTATAAGGATTCCGGCTCCGACGGGCTGTTCCCATCGATTTTTAAGGATGGAGGTCTAGCCTTGGTTTTGGAGTAAACAAAACTCCTAGGTTCAGTGTGGGAAAGCGAACAGATTCCGACTGAATGTTGTGAATCAGTGATCATACGGACTCACAAGAAGGACAACCGGTCCTCTTGTAAAAACCACGGAGGAATAAGTTTAATCAACATTGCCTCTAAACATCTCGCTAGTATTATACTCCGTCGATTTTCTGCCGCATCTGAACGGTGTACGCGTGAGAACCAGGCTTTCGACTCAGTCGACCGCTCTAAACTCTGGTGCTACCTTTCCCTGAAGGGTGTGCCCAAGAATTTTATTTCAATATTACAACCCCTCTACAATAATAACCGAAGCCGAGTCCGAGATTATGGCACTTTTTCACCCGAGTTCACCACGGAAAGTGGTGTTCGTGAGGGTTGCCTTTCTCTCTCTCCGTTTTTATTTAACTTTTTCATAGATTTAATTCTTGCAAGAGCCCTATCCTCGTGCGAGGATAGCGGCTCCCGGGTGGCAGACTGTCTGATCTACAGTATGCAAACGACATTGTGCCACTAACTGAAGATCCAGGTGAGTTGCAGGCTTTTCTGGATAGTTTGAGTGCTAGTGTATCCATGTTCGGTATGCGTTTTGCAACCTTCAAAGTGTAAAATGCTACTACAAGATTGGGTTGGCCCAATCCCCAACCTCACCCTAACCGGGAACGTTTTAGAGAAAGTAGACAAGTTTTGCTATCTTGGCAGTTATATCTCACTAGGCGGATGTATCACAGATGAAGTGTCGGCGCGCATGCAGAAGGTTCGGTTGGCATTTCCCAACGTGAGATATCTGTGGCACCGTCGCGAAATCCGGCTGTCTGTGAAGGGTCGAATATATGCTACGGTAATTCGGCCAGTTCTGCTTTGCGATTCAGAGACTTGGCCATTACAGAAACAGGATAAAAATAGGTTTTCGCTTTTTGAACACTGCTGTCTACATCGCATTGCGTGGGTTTGGTGGGGAAAAAGGACGAACAATGCCGAGGTTTGCCGCAGAGTTTTAGGCAGTCGCGGTCGTCCACTGGAGCAGGTAGTCGACCTCCATAGATTATGCTGGTTGGGACATGTGTTACGCATGTCACCCGATAGGCTTCCATGGCGAGCGATGTTTGCCGAGGCAGGTAGAGGTTGGAAAAAGATCATGTGCGTCCAAACTAAGACCTGGCACTAGGGTATGGAAACCCTGACCAGGAGACTGGCTCTCATAGGTCTCTTTAGGCTCCCTGGCTGGAGACCCCGAGATCACAGTCACCGATGGTTAAAGACACTGATGCGACATGGCTGGGTGTCGCGAACAGTGGCGCTCATGCATATACTTCAGTCTGTGTAAATGCGCTATCTTCTGCTTGAATCCGCTCTCAATATTCTTATCATCAATCTGCTCTTTTATCCAAATGGGCAACCAAAACCGGCGCACGACAGTGCATGGTTAATGTTTGTAAAAACTGAACTGAACTGAACCATTGCGGTAAAATAATCGGTGAAACTTTTCCATGCCATCAGAGGTTTTTAATACTCTCCTGAGAGGGCTGATTGCTTCATTGCTGTCAGGTTTTGCAACTTTTGTAGTCTTTGATGGTACGACCAATACTATCCCGGTTTTCCTGGTTTGAGGCTTAGCCGATATGATCAAAATTCAATACGGCCTAATCACTCGATCCTAATGGAGGAATAATATTTATAGATTCTACCATCATCTCCTTGTTCGTATGTACTAAATCTGATGATACGTGACTTTCTCCAAATCTGGATGTTTCCGTTACGTGGTTGTACCATGGGTGCAAGCCAATCAACTGTGATTACGGTCTCTCAAATGGCCTACGGATGGTTCTCGTTCTATGAAGATTGGGTGGAAGAAAGTCAAGGGTGGCCAAGTTAAGACCTGGCACGAGGGTATGAAAACCCTGACCAGGAGTCTGGGTCACATTGGTCCCGTTAGGCTTCCTGGCTGGGGACCTCGGGATGATCGTATCAAAACGGGCACAGGAAAGTGATTGTCAATGGTTGTTCAAACTGAAACTGAAACAGATAATTCTCATTACTCTTGGTAAGAGAAGCTACAGCTCGACTGGTATTCACGAAATGGAGACAAATGACCTTTTGAGCTCATGTTCAAACGATTTTACCGTTTGGAGATAAATCTTAGCTCTCTCCAGTGTACTTTATAGACACCAGCCAAACCAGTTTTGATTAATACAATATGCCATACATCTGGGATCCCCCGGTAGTCTCAAAACTAAAAGATCTGTGTCGCAGTTTCATACTGTCTGATGTTAGGTCATCTAAAATCATTTCTTTCTCCTTAATCCCAGAGTCAGAAGACATTATTCCAAAACTACGACAATCTAAGGATGAGCTTTCACTCTAGGGGCACGAAATACAAGCCGTCCCCTTCGGAAAGATATTGGATTAAATGAGTCGATTTTAAAAGTCTTGTCACTGCACCACAAAGGTCTATTTACGTACGTATTTTCTCGTTGATCAACAGTCGAATGAGAGTTACCTGGCCTGATTATTCTAGAAAGCTTAGGAGGATCGTCTTCCGTAGCTGTGAAAACTTCCAGTTTGCTCAGGCGTGTCAACGCTGTTCCCCCACTTCTGTGCGCATTCGAGCACACATTAAGCACGCCATTCATTCCAAGAATCCCTGGCTAGACTGATATCAGATTTTCAAGCATTCACGAAGAATATCCATCACTATAAACGAGGAACTAAAATCGTTGGGGTTATATTCTACGCCGAATTCGGGGAAAACTGGAGTTCGATGTATCAAATTCTACAGAACCCAAGCCATCCATGTATTTCACTAGCGATATTAGCATTCACCATCCAGCTCAATGACCATCCATTGAAATCAATGGTCAATCGTTTGCGGTCCGAGTGAGCATGACATTGAATGCTGTACCATTTCATGTCAGTTGTGTGCCACCCACTGAATCTTCAAGACCGATGCTTGATAAAATTCTGGTATGCCTCATATTTGAAATAACTGAATCTACGTAGAACATTGAATAAGGTTACTTTGTGTTACTGTTTACATCTGATTTTCTGTTTAGCGCCTATAGTGATACCAATACCACTTTTGTGGTGTTCAAATTGGGAACAGAGTTATAGATGGGCCTGCTTCCGGTCTTATCGAAGGTCATAGAGTCAATTGTGGCCGATTCTCTGATGGAACATCTCGAAAGATACAGCATTCTCTCGACAGCTCAACACGGGTTTAGGCAAAAGCGATCCTGCACCACGAACTTGCTTCTCGTTCGAGATGAATGGACCAGAACAGTCGACTAAGGGGATGCGGTGGATGTTATTTATCTCGACTTCTCGAAAGCATTTGATCGAGTGAATCACAAACTTTTACTGCAGAAGCTCTATAATTATGGCGTTCGAGATTTCGCATTTGAGTGGATCAAAGCATTCCTCGATCAACGAACCATATCAGTTCGTGTTTCTGATTCTTTATCCGGAACCATCAAAGCCACCCGCGGTGTTCCAAAACGGTCCGTAATCGGTCCCT